GAGAGCTTTAGTTTCATTCATAGTACAATAATGAGCTCACAATCACAGTTAGCTGTAGTATTGTGGTTCTACAGAGCAGGTCAGGGAACGGCTCCTCGCCTCAGAAGACGTTTACCTGCGTTTAATCTGACCTCTTTCTCTGTCCTGCTGCTGTCCCAACTCTAAAAATACCACACCCGGCCATGCACAACAATAAAGCGAAATACTTTGTGGTTTATAATGACTTCAAACTGCATTGTTTAATTTTTAATGAACGCTACAACAAGATTTTACACTAATTTTATAAGTGCAGTGTTTGAAAAATGCTCACAGAGTAGAGCTAATTTTTGCAATAAATCTGAATAAATTATGCCTGTGCGTGGGAGGACATTATTAACACACACACGCACACACACACAAACACCCACATATGCTTCTGCATATAAATGTCTCCCAGTTTAATGTTCCAAAGCACTCCAGATCCACAGAACTGGAACTCTAATTCCTGCATCCAGGATTCTGATGTATTATCATTCCTCTCTGCTTCAGTCAGCTCAGATTACAGCAGCCTGCCAGGGTTCACTGAGGGAATTAAGACGCCCAGTGTGGCGACAAACAGGAGAAGGTCATGCTGGTTAGTCCTGCCCACGCTGGTTCTCGATGCCAGGCGTGAGATGGGTACTGCGGTAGAAAATAGCGTCTGTCTCACAGCTGGACTGCCAGCGCAGGCTGAACGATGGCTGAGACAGGGGCGAACGCTGGCCCTCAACCTCTCCTCATGTTTGAGCGTTTGAGACCCATCAGCTGTTAAGATATCTACCCCTCTCCTCCTCCTTCTCCTCCTCCTCCTCTTCCAGACTATGCCAATTACTTTCTTTCTTCCTCTCCTCTTCTCTTTCCATCTCTCTGATTGTATGACTCAAGCCTCACAAGCAGGTACCCAAAAAAGTACTGTAGCATTTTTTTTTCAAATAGTGATAATATGAGATGGCAGTACTGATAATGTACTGATAATATATATATATATATAGTGTTCCCACCTTTAGATTTTCTATGCTTTTCCCAGATTTTCATAATAATAAGATTAGGAGATTGTACTATAATTTCTAGCCATTTCTAGCTGAGCATAAGTGAAAAAAAAAAGAATTAATTTTAAAATGAAAAGTTGAATTTTAATTTGACTTTCAGATATGAATGATTTTTATGACTTTTCCATTTTAAAATAAAAAATGTTTTTTATAATTTTCAGATAATTTTAATCATGTTAAATTTAGAAAAACATTTATTCACTATAGAACATTAAGTTAAATTAAATTAATTAAAGATATTAATTTATGAACTTTAAACATACAAAAATGTATTCACTATATATATATATATATATATATGTGTGTGTGTGTGTGTATATAATATATAATTAATTAAAATGACTAATATATTATTAATATTATTCATTTTCATGGCTTTTACATTTATAGATGTTTTTAATCAATTTTTAGTTGTTTAGTTGACATTTCCAAGTCATGTAAACTTTAAAAAATCTTAAACATCTATCTTAAAAAGTCAGACATGTCTATAGTGGATATAATTTGGATTGATGATTATTAACTTTTTTTAACTTTTAGGGAAAAAAATATTCCTTACAGAAATTTCTGAAACTTACCATTTTATTAATTTTGACGTCTTGCTTTTTAAAATTCCATAAGGTTTTCATGACCATGGGATCTCTGTATATGCTATGAAACTTAATTAATTGATTTCATGTTACATGGAATTCATTACATTTAAATCCATGATATTCACTGTACCACTACCATGTCTAAAAACCAGGGTAAATCCATAGTATTTTATAATTATGGAATTACCATAAATATGCTATGACAAAACTACAATGGTTGTTGGATAGTATACTATATACAGTAAATGATATACTTGATGACATTCAGTACATCACAGTACCATTTAAATGCCAATATGAATATAATAAACAAGTAGTGCCATGGTATTTATCAGTACCATCACTGAACCATAGTACCACCACAGAAACTTCAAAATCTGTAACGCAATAACTAAAACATGTCCTAATCCTGCTGTAATCACAGCAAACAGCCTCTCAGCCACAGACAGACAGACGGATCAGAGATCAAAGTTTTCACGGTGCATGATAATACTGATCAAACAAGCTCTTCTAACCGCCCGACCTCCCTCACTGCCTCATACGACATGACCGACATGTCTGACAGAGATTTCAGTCTAGAGACAGACAGCTAGTAATCGCCAGTCTCTAATCTAATCTCTAATGGTTTAACAGTCAAATCCCTGCACTGTAAAAAATGACCGTGAATTTAACGGTAAAAGACTGTAAAAATGCTACAGTAAAAACCTGTTAAATGGTTAACGGTAAATTCCCCTACTATATACGGTGAAAAACTGTATTGGACATTACATGTATTGGACATTAATTTTACGGTAGTATACCGTTTTTGGAAGTGAAAAAGACCGTATAATTTACAGTGAATAACCGTAAACGCGTTTTTTTTGTTGAAATAACTATGTTTCTTAGTTTTTTCTTATCAGTTTTGTATATTAGGGTTGTGTGTTACACCTAATGTTGTTAAATGAATGTTTATTGCATTATTTCAGTTTCATGAGTGTTACCATGATGGTGTTTAGTGTTTGTGTGAATGACACTGTGCACCTTCTATACATGTTATTATTTAAAAGCTGCTTGTGATGGGCTTTGGTTCATCACGTGACTTTCTCATCACCACCTGCATTTGGTGGTTATCAGTGTATTACAAAGGTACAAAACAGATTTCAGTACTTCAATAGGCTGGTATATTAACATTATATCAGTTAATGAAATTACGGTATTTAACTGTAAATTTAAGTTAAAACCGTAAAACCTAAAACATTGCTACCGTATTTTTTACGGTAAAATTCCGGCAACCACAGCTGCCGGTTTTTTACCGTAAATTTTACGGAATTTTTTTTACAGTGTGGGGTCTGCAGCGCACAGTGTATGGAAAACAGAATTCATGTGCCCACTTCCTGTTTCAAAGCATTCCCAAGTAATGACAGCCAAAAGTGTTATATTTAATGAATAACTGAGATAAACCCTAAGATATGGATTAGTTTCCAATAATTCAACAGTCTGATTATTTTGCTTACACCACAAGTACACGTGTTTATCTCAAGCCATCAAACAAGGTTTCAACCTTAAAACTAGTTTGTGTATAGAACTACTAAGTTCCTTACACCACCAATTCTGCTTATAAACAGACCAAACTGCTGTTAGTGTTTCAAAACTCTGTAACAATTCAAAAAGAATGTGGCAAAATGATATGCAATGTAATGCGGTCAACAAACCTGAAACTAAATCAAAGCCCCGCAAGTATAAAAAGCATTACACAGCTCTCTGGAATATTTGATTCTGATTGAACAATTGCCATATTCTGCTGTCAGATATTTTGTATTATGACCATTAAAGATTCAAATCGACTGGTCCAGGTAACTTATTTTCTCTCACAAATCCTGGCAAATTAATATTTAAACAAATGGTCATGTCATGTTAAAGTCATGTAGTTGCTTTTTACTAACGTTTAAAAAAAAAAAAAAAAAAGACCTCAATTTTCATGACATTTCAAATTTAGAAAAACGTCTATTCATTAGGGAAATGTTATGGCTTTAAGGTATGAATTTTACATTTCAACATAAATTTTTTTTTTTTATATTTCTGATGTAAAATAGTATTAATTTTCAGTACTTTTTCAAGAATTTTAGTGAATAGTGAATTTTGTTTATTTATTTGTTATTTTAAGTAATGACAATATAATTGTCTTTAAAAGTAATGGTAATGTCTAATGTGGATATAATTTTCATAATAATAACAATTTTCATGACTTTTTCATTTTAAAATGTCCTAATATTACCAGGTTTTACGTGACCATGGATTTTTATTATTATTATTTAAAACTAAATTTTGTTTCCAAGATTTTAAAAGTCCATTCTTTTAAAAGTCCAAGTCTGAATTTATAATATTTACACCATTTAAAAATGACCCAAATCAGATTGGTGGAAATTTGTAACACTTATGTTAACCATATTAAAAAAACAAACTTTTTGAGTTTACATAGTCATACTTTCTCTCATATTACATAAGTCTCTTTATTTTTACATCATAAAATAATTTCAACTCAAATAAAATATTTTATATTTACTTATAATACTAATTTGGTAACTAGCCTCATAATGAGTCAAATAATGTACAATCAACCAGTCATTATCACAAAATAAACCACTCCGCTTCATGATAACCCTGTCAAATTTTATTTTAGTGTAATGACCAGTTGACGGAACATTATAATCACTTAAACACTTTCAGCAACCCATCGGAGTGTATAAAATGAGATTGACAAGATTTAGAGGTAAAACGTGTATGGAAGCAGTGTGCTAGAATAATCACATGCAGTCTGATTCATATACTGTATGTGGGTGGAAGAGAGAAGCACAGCCTCTCTCTCCCCCCCCTTGTGGTTTTCCATGTGTGCACCGTTCACAGGTACGAGCCTTTACAAGACTTCCTGTCACTCTGTGCGGTCAGGTGAGAGAGAGGGGGTGTCCCCGGTGAGGGTGATATCATCACAATGATGCCATAAGGCTCCTGACGCACAACAACAGTGAGGGTCTAAAAGTCAGACTCCATTAAATCAGTTGACAATGGCTTCACGGATCTCCTGTCGTCTAGTCAGGACGGCGGGCAAAGAAGCAGCAAGCTTAAATGAATTAAAAGCTTACGAATCACTGACACACAACAAAACATAGTTACTTTCATTCAAGTAAGTTCAACACCATTGAACTAACCGGTTAACCAAGCATAAGTCTTCCAAGTACTGTCAGACTGTTAAGTGACAAGCAGCAAATTACATCTTGACAGATAATATTGTCACATTAAGCTGAATAACACTAAACAGGCAATATTTAGAAAGACACACAGTAAAAAGGAAGGGAACGATACTCACCGGTTATCTTCTGCTGATGCTTTTAGTTAGATGACCAGAATTCAGAATTCAGTCCGTTCATTCCAGCATGGTTGCATGTATGTATAAGCAGTGTATGTGTCCAAGTGCAGTTACCGTTGGCTGAGGGTTGATCCTGTGTTACCATTCACTGGCAGGCTGCCCCTCTCGATGTCTCTCTCTCTCTTTAACACTCCGATTCTCTCGCTTTCTATCATGCTATCACTCTCTCTCTTTCCCCCTCCCTTCTCTTCATTCTCTCTCTCTCTCTCTCTCTCTCCGCTCTCAGGCTGTTGAGGGTTGATCCTGTGTTACCATTCACTGGCAGGCTGCCCCTCTCGATGTCTCTCTCTCTCTTTAACACTCCGATTCTCTCGCTTTCTATCATGCTATCACTCTCTCTCTTTCCCCCTCCCTTCTCTTCATTCTCTCTCTCTCTCTCTCCGCTCTCAGGCTGTCAGAGCTGGGCTGCTCTGCCATGTGTTAGCCCACGTACAACTGCAACACAATGTGCCCACACACACACACACACACACACACACAGATCAGCTGTTGTTTCCCTTAGACGAACATGCTGACACACAATTTTCTAAATTACTCCTCTCCAAAATTAGTTTAAACAAAAAACAGCTCAAAGGGTTCGCAAACACTCTTGGGTTTTAACTAGGGCTTTGTTAAGTGTGTGCGTGTGTGTGTTATAGTGAACAACCCCCTGCTATGATGGTAATATTTTGTCTGTTTCTCTCTATAGCCTTCTCACTTTCATGTCACAGAAGTGATATAAGTGTGTGTGTGTGTGTGTGTGTGTGTGTGTGTGTGTGTGTGTGTATGTTACAGTGAACTCCCCGCTGCTATGATGGTAATAATTAATCTTTTTCTCTCTATATTCCTCCGTATCCCTTTCGTGTCACAGTAGTGATATGCAAATAACCAAGTTTCTATTCATTGAAGATGTTCAAACTAGGCACATTTTGTGAAGAAAAAATCATTGTAAAAACATAGTTTGCACAGTTTAAGCATAAAATATTTGCGCATCCTGGACATGTTGCGCTACAAGTATAAATGATACCTCCAATCATGCAGCTTGAGGAGAGACGAGTGCTAGTATATTTTTATTAGTGATCTGACTTACAATATTTATATTGTGGACAGTTCAAGGGGGAAAAAACTCACATTACCTTATATTTAAGGAGCTGTATCTAGGAACCAGAATATCACAGATCACCATAGCAACCACCAGAATAACTTAGCAACCACATAGAAACACTCAGAACACTTTAGCAACTGGCGAATCAAGCCATATCTGGGAAGCAAAATATCATAAATCACGATTTAAGGTAAAAACAGCCAGAACATCTTAGCAACTGCATAGCAACACCCTGGAAACCACCCAGTTATGTTGCTGTGTAGTTGCTAGTGTGTTCTAGTGTGTTGCTAGTAACTACTTAGAACATCCTAGTTACTGAATAGCAATGTGCATAAACAAAACTCACTAGCAACCGCATAGCAACACCTTGACAACCACCCAACTATGTTGCTATACGGTGACTGTTTTTAACCACATTGCTATGCAGTTACTAGGATGTTCTAAGTGGTTGCTAGGGTGTTGCTAAAGCAATCACTTAGAACATCCTGTCCTGACATCCTAGCAATGTGCATAAAAACAGTCAAAACACCTTAGCAACTGCATAGCAACACCCTGGCTATGTTACTACGTGATTGCTAGTGTGTTCTGATTGTTCTATGCAGTTACTAGGATGTTCTATGTGGTTGCTAAATGTGAAAGCAACCACTCAGAACATCCTAGTAACTGCATACTGTAGCAATGTGCTTAAAAGTAGTCAGAACACACTAGCAACCGCATTGCAACACCCTGGCAATCACCCAACTATTTTGCAATGTGGTGACTGTTTTTAAGCACATTGCTATGCAGCTACTAGGATGTGCTAATTGGTTGCTAGGGTGTGCTGACTGTTTTAAGCACATTGTTAGAGTGCTAGTACTAGGTTGTTCTAAGTGTTTGCTTTAGCAACACCCTAGCAACCACTTAGAACATCCTAGTAACTGCATAGCAATGTGCTTAAAAACTGTCACAAAGTTGGGTGGTTGCCAGGGTGTTGCTATGCGGTTGCTAATGTGTTCTGAGTGTTTCAGCACATTGCTGTGCAGTTGCTAGGATGTTCTAAGGGGTTGCTAAGGTGATATATGATATTTCAGTCCCTAGATACGCTGTTCTTGGAGTGTTGCCTGTTTGCTCCAGGTAGTCTACGTAAATCCCCAAGACCACTCTCATTGTAATTAACTTGATGAGCACAAAACTCATTATTTTTATTGTTCTGCCCCCCGGCAGGAATCCTGTTCCTCATTATTACCATGATTAATCAAATCACACATTGTAGTTCATGTGTGTTCATTTATGCAACATTTGGGAAATTAAACTCAATAACTCTTGATGATCAAAAAGATAACTGATGCACTGTTCATCTGGCCCCATGGATTTTTTTGATCGAATGTAATTCCTAATGTCTATGGTGTGCTAGAATTTGTAATCTGCTCTGTTGTGCGGCACGTGCTTACACTCTACATTCACGAATCAGCAGCCTGGAGCTTGTACAAAAGTGTCCATGGCAACGGGCTGAACCCATGCCAAGTTATTTGGTCCTAGCATGCTAAAGATAGACGCACACAGTACACGGGAAAGTCTGCACTGCGTGAGATTCCAAACCAATAGCACCTGTACCTCATACTGTACAAACACTACACTAACAAGACACCTATGCTGAAGGAAACCGCTTAATAGAGGAGATCTGGTCCAACTGATAACCCATGGTATAGTGATAGTAACTGAATATATTACCATGGTACTTTGATATGTACTTTGATACCGTAGTAATTTACCATGGTATCTAAAATGGTACTTCTACGTACTTGGTGTTAGCCATGCTTACAAAAAGTACTGTAAAGGGACCATGGTACAGTGATGGTGCAGAATGGTAATACTATGGTAATTTGAAATAGACCATGGTACTAAAATTTATGGTATTTACATGGTACTTCCAAGAATATTAGTGTGTGGTGTGTGTGTCCACTTGATATGACACCATCTCTAAAAACCATAATACTTTTGTATAGGATATTGATTTACAACAATAATCTTTAGCGATGCACTTACACACACATCAAGGGGACAGCTTGCAGGGTGAACACAGAAAAGTGGGACATTACTGCAGGCTATGCCTCATACAACACCATCGCAGCCTGCCACATTCCCGCTGGCCCCCTAATGAACGGAAACCCAGGGCGGATCTGTCACCAGAACGCTGTCCTGCGCAGCCTGGAAATGGTGGAGCCAAGCTGCCTACACACAGTCTGTCATATAGGGGAGGAGAGGACATCGAAACATGTAAAATAAAACTGTACCTCCATTTGAACACCTGTGAGAAACACAGACCTTTTATGAATCTGTCAGTTCCAGATGCAGTTGTGATGTTGAGAATTAAATTCGGCTTGACCCGCTGAATGACAGCTTGACGTCTTTGAAGCACCAGTCAATGTTTGTTTGTTGGCTCAGATAGATAGCCTCTCTTTCACAACCCTGCAGGAGAGCGATAGAGAGGAGAGGGGAAAAAGAGGAAGAGAGAGCAGTAAACTCTTTTGTGAATGACATGGATGCATGATAGATAGAGAGATAAATAGATATAATAACAGCAGAAAGCTAGATAGATAGATAGATAGATAGATAGTTTCTGATTCTGCAGTCTCAGTGTGTTGTATGTTGTGGCCTTGTTCTTAGTGGATGCAGTGAGTGGTAAAAGTGAAGTGGCTTCCTCTGATACATTAGAGCGTCTTTCGCTCATCAGTGAGACAAAGAGGCTGTCAGAGCACTGGAGTGACTCTGATCTCCCTCCCACGACACACAAACAACCCACAATGCTCTCCTGATCTCACTGCGCTGTCAATCACACTAGCGAACACATTTCAGTGCTACTTTTGATTTGATTATTAAAATTTAAAACAACCATTTTCTATTTGAATAATTAAAAAAATGTAACTTATTCCTGTGATGGCAAAGCTGAATTTTCATCAGCCATTACTCCAGTCTTCAGTGTTACATGATCCTCCAGAAATCATTCTGGTCTGTGTTGATCTGGTGCTTAAGAAACTTTTCTTATTTTTGTGCATTTATTTGAAAAACACTATAAACATTATAAATGTCTTTACTGTCACTAGTTGTTATAAACATGCATAAAACCTCCTTCATATTCATGACATGTGTCATGTCATGATTATGAAGGTGTCATGTCAGTCTTATGCACACCCCTTCAAGTAAAGTGTAACCCTTTTTAATATTTTGATTATTTAATGCATCCTTGCGGTATAAAAATATTTATTTTTCATTCAAAGAAGTAGTATGTAGATTTCACTGTGCAACCAATTACTCAATAATTATTTTGGGAGATCTGCTTACAGTCAGAACTGGAGCTGGTCTAAGTGTGTTTATACTTTGAAACTGTTGTGCAGGAACACTTGAATCCATGTGTGCGGGTGTGAAAGAGATTGAACGGAAGACAGAGTTAACCTTACTGTTACAGCTTTGCATGAAAACTGACAAAAGAGCTAATGATTATAACTTAAGCTTAGTAGGCATTTAAATCAATACATATATACACCATGCTCTATTAATCCACTTATCTGTGCCTTATTTTGAATGCTTTCAGGCTGAAAGTAACCTGAGATTGTAAACGGACAAATTAATTACCTTTTGTGTATATTTCAGAGCTGTTACCCCCATGTTGACAATGCAGCTATTGTGTAAATTCTTAAAGGGGTCATATGATGCGATTTCAATTTTTCCTTTCTCTTTGAAGTGTTACATACGGAAGTTCTAAGCGGTCATGCATTTTTTTTTTTTTCCTTCTTGTTTTCTCGTTATAACGACTTATTTTCTCGTTATATCGACATAACGAGAGTTGTTTTCTCGTTATAACGACTTAATTTTCTCGTTATATCGACATAACGAGAGTTGTTTTCTCGTTATAACGACTTAATTTTCTCGTTATATCGACATAACGAGAGTTGTTTTCTCATTATAACGACTTAATTTTCTCGTTATATCGACATAACGAGAGTTGTTTTCTC